AATAATATGACTGCAAATGGCATTGATTCTAAGTCCTCCCTCACAGATCTTTTATTCTCTTCAGTGTCTGTACAAAGAAGACGGAAGACTCAACTAGTGTTGAGTTTATAGTAACTGAGTCTCAGTGGGGGATTGACAATTCCAGTTTGCATACCTTCCTTCATGGCTCCCCACCTCACAGATGAGCTTTATGAAGGTCCTAATCTCTGTGTAGCCCCCCTGAGGAAATGGGGTGCTTTGCATCCATCATTACTTGGATGGTATTCTACTGTTGGACCAGAGCCTAGATCACCTACTAGTTCAAAAGGGTATTTATACAGCCAGCCTGAGAAGTTTTGGCTGGATTGGAGGTGTCAAAACAGTGGGAGGAGACCCATCTAGTCATCAATATGGAAACCCAGTTCAATGCTCAAGTGAGTACTCTTCTGCTCCTTCTCAGAATAGGCCAAGGAGCAGGAAGCATCTTCGGAATGTGGTATCTCTGGAAGTTTTGTCAAGCTTTCCAATTTCCTATGCTACCCTGGGCACACTGTATTCTCTGCACATTCCAAAGAATTTCCTTTTTGCAACACAGAAGTCGACACTTGAGCTGATTCAAAGCTCTTCTCCTCAGATATGCAGGAGTCTGTTTATGGGTGTGACAAAGGATCACTTGATCCCGTATGGTAGGTTCATTATCTCGGACCATTGTCACCTTTGAGGTCTATGCTACAGGGTGGATCGCCACCTGCAGTTACTATGTCCTCTGTTACCTCGCATTCAGGCTTGACTGGTTATTTAGCATGATGTTAACACAATGTCATGCGTTTAGAAATAAAGGAAACTCAATGGCAGGTTCCAATGGAAGTGGAAGTATCATGTTCATGACCGAATGTAATCTTCAGGGGCTGCGGGGGCCCAGGATGCCAAAAGGGGCTGTGGCACCAGGTGTTTTTGGTTCCCAATGAATGGGTCTTTATCTTTCCCCTATCACTCAAGTATGGGGCCTCCCTCAGTTGATCCTGTTTGCATCACCATTCTATCACAAGGTGCCTCTTATGCTACCCTCACCCATTGGTGGAGGAAGCAGAAGCTCACTCAGCCAAGCAATAGTTACCTAGCAAATAGCTTTCCTCTACTGCCTTTGGTCATGAAGTTCCAGGGGGGACTGTTGTCCGAGAGTCTCATTGTGATAACACGCATGCCCGATTAGCCTGCAGGTCTGGGTTTTACCCTAGCCATGGAACTGGAGTCCAAGCACTTCAGCTACCAGTGTTTCCACAACACTTGGCCCAGGATGGATTGGAAATTGAAAAGGAAGGATTGACGGATTAGAGCCATCCTCTTTCAGTGGTAAATCCTGCAGGGTTTCAGGAAGGATGACAACAAATGCCATTTACTCTGAAGTCTGGAACAGGTTCACAGTCTTTGCAGCTGAGTAGGATTTTGATCCTAGCAACCCGGGGGTCGCCCACTTGCTATAATTTCCTCACACAGATCTGGATTTGGGACTCAGCTAGTTCTGTAAGGGCTCAAATTTCAGCCATTTCACCTTCATCAGGGTATATGACCGTGTGAGCTGCCAGGGGAGCATTTCAGGAGGTTGGTCCTGAGACTTTGCCCTGAGGAGGAAAAACATTTCCCCTGTGGGATTTTATTCTGGCACTGGATTTCCTTGCCAGGACTCTGTTTGCACCAAAAGAAAGGAGTCCTCAGTAGGACATCAGTCAAGAAGCAGTGTCCCTCGATAACTTCAGGAGGCAGAGTTTTGGATCGGCAAGAGCTTCAAACTACAGAGTCCTACATCTTATTTCTTCTGAACAAGTTGGGGCCTATGTCTATTGAGCACCTTTGTCCCAAAGTGGCTTCAGTTTTCATCTTACAAATTGGTGATTCCATCCTTTCTGGCACATGTAGTACCTAACCTACACAAGCTGGATGTACCAGGTATCTAAGATGCCTACCTTCAAGCTGCTTCCTAGTTTAAATCCTCTGAGACGCTGATCGTGTTTCCATCAGGCAAATTCAGGGGAGGAAGCTGCAGAAAACCTTGTCATCTTGGAGTGTCAAGGTCATCCTGGAAACATGCAGCCAGGCAAGAGCCGCCAGAAGTGGTAGAGGCTCATTCAGCCAGGTCCATCTCTACATTCGGGCAGCGCATGCAAAGTGTTTATGAAGACTTGTGTAAAGCAGCAAGCTAGTTACCACAGTGCACCCGCCTCGGGCACTACAGGGAAGATCCAGGGGCTTATAGGTCAATGGACTTCAACAGAATTGTAGTCTAGGCTTCCATGTTCATTGTAATTCAGTTTGATTATACAGTTTAGCCCTCTCTGTTTAGCTAGTTATTTATCACATGTATGCTGCCATGTTGGCGTCATAAAAACTTAAAATTGTATCAAATACTTACTGTAATTTTCCTTTCCTGACGACAATCCATGGCAGCATATGAACCCTCCCTTGTTTGATTTTGTTGTACAGAGAATGGGGGAGGTTGGTCTCAGTCAGACTTTTATAGATTTACACAGGTCCTGTGGGTGGATATAGGGGCAGAGCTTTATCACATATACAGTCAGGTCCATAAATATTGGGACATCAACACAATTCTAACATTTTTGGCTCTATACACCACCACAATGGATTTGAAATGAAACAAACAAGATGTGCTTTAACTGCAGACTGTCAGCTTTAATTTGAGGGTATTTACATCCAAATCAGGTGAACGGTGTAGGAATTACAACAGTTTGCATATGTGCCTCCCACTTGTTAAGGGACCAAAAGTAATGGGACAATTGGCTTCTCAGCTGTTCCATGGCCAGGTGTGTGTTATTCCCTCATTATCCCAATTACAATGAGCAGATAAAAGGTCCAGAGTTCATTTCAAGTGTGCTATTTGCATTTGGAATCTGTTGCTGTCAACTCTCAAGATGAGATCCAAAGAGCTGTCACTGTCAGTGAAGCAAGCCATCATTAGGCTGAAAAAACAAAACAAACCCATCAGAAAGATAGCAAAAACATTAGGCGTGGCCAAACAAACTGTTTGGAACATTCTTAAAAAGAAGGAACGCACCGGTGAGCTCAGCAACACCAAAAGACCCGGAAGACCACGGAAAAAAACTGTGGTGGATGAGCGAAGAATTCTTTCCCTGGTGAAGAAAACACCCTTCACAACAGTTGGCCAGATCAAGAACACTCTCCAGGAGGTAGGTGTATGTGTGTCAAAGTCAACAATCAAGAGAAGACTTCACCAGAGTGAATACAGAGGGTTCACCACAAGATGGAATCCATTGGTGAGCCTCAAAAACAGGAAGGCCAGATTAGAGTTTGCCAAACGACATGTAAAAAAGCCTTCACAGTTCTGGAACAACACCTATGGACAGATGAGACCAAGATCAACTTGTACCAGAGTGATGGGAAGAGAAGAGTATGGAGAAGGAAAGGAACTGCTCATGATCCTAAGCATACCACCTCATCAGTGAAGCATGGTGGTGGTAGTGTCATGGCGTGGGCATGTCTGGCTGCCAATGGAACTGGTTCTCTTGTATTTATTGATGATGTGACTGCTGACAAAAGCAGCAGGATGAATTCTGAAGTGTTTCGGGAATATTATCTGCTCATATTCAGCTAAATGCTTCACAACTCATTGGACACTTCACAGTGCAGATGGACAATGACCCAAAGCATACTGCAAAAGCAACCAAAGAAGTGGAATGTTCTGCAATGGCCAAGTCAATCACCTGACCTGAATCCGATTGAGCATGGATTTCACTTGCTGAAGACAAAACTGAAGGGAAAATGCCCCAAGAACAAGCAGGAACTGAAGACAGTTGTAGTAGAGGCTTGGCAGAGCATCACCAGGGATGAAACCCAGCGTCTGGTGATGTCTATGCGTTCCAGACTTCAGGCTGTCATTGACTGCAAAGGATTTGCAACCAAGTATTGAAAAGTGAAAGTTTGATTTATGATTATTATTCTGTCCCATTACTTTTGGTCCCTTAACAAGTGGGAGGCACATAGGCAAACTGTTGTAATTCCTACACCGTTCACCTGATTTGGATGTAAATACCCTCAAATTAAAGCTGACAGTCTGCAGTTAAAGCACATCTTGCTCGTTTCATTTCAAATCCATTGTGGTGGTGTATAGAGCCAAAAATGTTAGAATTGTGTTGATGTCCCAATATTTATGGACCTGACTGTATGCTGCAATGGATTGGCGTCAGGAAAGGAAAATTATGGTAAGTATTTGATACAATTTTCCATTATCTTCCTTTTTGGATAGAGCATGGGAGGGTTATAACCCATTTTTTTTTCGCCATCTGTGACCCATTGTGGAGATTTCCCTTCACTTCCTGTCCCATAGCCAAACAGGAAATGAAAGAAAATGCTTCCAAATTAAAACAATTCCTTGGGGCCCCCCAGGTGACCAAAATAGTGTCCCCATCAGAAGATTTCCCCTCTATTACTTTTCTGGGGACAGCTCAAAATTTGGGGTTTCTTTTATATTCACTTTTAAGTGATAATGGTAAACAGGACTAATAGAGAGGGTAAATCTTTTTAACAGGTCACAGACATATAAAAACTGACAGGGGTTCTATTACACCTCCACTCTATCCAAAAAAAAAAAAAAAGTTTTGCCTTTGGTTATACTTTAATCTAGTTAATTCATATTGCCCAAGCCATGATGCTTTGCAAATTTAACTTAGCATTAGGTGGTAAAGTCCTTTGTCTGTGTGAAAGGGGCCTTTGAGACAGTGCATCTCCCTAAAGGGGACACAGGTAGCAATAAAAACATGACAGTGGTTCACACTCCACTCTATCAAAATCTAAAAAAAATTTTGCCTTTAGTTATAATGTAATAACTACACATTGCAAACCAATGGTTGCCTATGGAGTGAGGTAGCACGTGGTAGGGATTGCCCACATTTGGAGCATCGTGTGATCAGTAGCAGTTCAAATAGAGAAAGTTGTAGAACTGTGCCAAAACAACTCTATGTATATATTTTTTAATCTCAGTGACTTACCATTGTTTTTCACCTCTCCTTTCGGCATCCACAAACTCTCTCCATACGTGGTCCTGCCTGACCACATCCCCCAGGCTTCCTTTTCTTTATCCTTCTTGGGCAGAATGGGAGAATGTTTGGTCCCGGCGTGGCTAAGTGACACGGAGGAAGTGGATGTCAGCTTTGTTTTCGTTCTGTCTGGCATCCTATAGCCGGCTGAAGTGGCCCTCCTTAATGGAATGTGTTTGCTGCCCATTTTTAGTGTCTGCTTAATCAAAAGACAAGGCGATTAAGTTCCAATGATGAAATCCTTGGCTTCTTGTATGTTGTGTAATTAGACGAGATCTTAGAATGATTTCATTAATATGTGGAGGTGGAGGAAGTGAGCTGTGCTTTTGCTGTGTTGTGGAAGTAAATAGCACAGAGAAGTATACACATTCCCGGTGTGTTTATTGTAGCCATGGGTAACCAGATCTACGGCAGGGATCATGAATACTTAGCAGAACAAAAGAACCAAGCAGCCAAGACTTGCATGCATTACTTCATAGGGGACTGCTATGGAGATGGGGAGGATGACAAGGCACAAGGGCCAGATAGAAACGGAGAATAAATGATCAATACGGCTGGATTGTATTACATACAGTACATATAAAGCACATTTATATATTTTTTTATTACTATAAATACAATACAACAACCACATTGTAAGGGTATGTTTATTTCATATTCATTTTTATGCATTTTCCATAGAATACTATACATACAATACATTTTCAAGGTGAATAGACAAGAGAATCCACATTCCAAAAGGATTTCCATTGTTAATATTCTTTTTACCATTTAAATCTATGCAATCCTTTCAAATCTGCAACACATCTAAAGCTGACTATACACCTTACAATCTGATTGTATACACTCTTTAATGGTGTCCTTACACAGTGCGATATAACTGACCCATCAATGTCCGATTCCACAAAATTATAAATTCAGACATTGGGCAAGCGAGACAATAACAGAACTGTGATGAATGTCAGATATTAAAGTGTTACTAAACCCACAACAGTAAAATCAGTCTGTGTATGCAGTAAAGCATACTTGTTATACTCACTGTGGAACCTAAGGGGTTAATCCTCTGCATTGTGTAAAACGGCTGTTTGATCTTTTCTTCTTTGCCCCATCTCTTCAATGTTCAAATGCCCTCACTGATAAGACAGACTGGTGCCCTTCTGCACATGCTCAGTTTAGTGTGTATTGCTAGAGAGGTCTCTTTTTTTTGGCAGAGTGCATGTGATCAGCACAAGGCCAATGAGCACTGTCCAGACAGAGGTCAGGGGATTTCCATCCTCCTAGAGAAAACTCCTCCTACAAGCTTTAACCAGTGCTCAGCTGAAGTCACAAGACTGCTCTAACTGTTGATGAGAAAAGGTGTTTAGCAGTTTATATTTACTAAAATAATTGCACTTCCATGTTGTGTGTACTGGAGGAGACCAGATACAGTGAATACAGGGTCCTGGGTTTAGTAACACTTTAATGGTTCCGATCAACAAAAGTTGAATGGTTGTGGCTGAAAATAATACTTTTTTTCTTTAACCCCTTGACGCCGAGCGCTTGCAAATATGCGGCCTCTTGGTGTCTGGGCCTTGATGCCGAGCGGCCGCATATTTGTGTGCAATTAAAAAATACATATGTGCCGAGAGAGCGCACCCTGCGTGCTCCCAGCACATATGTCCGATACTCCCGGAAAGGTCCCGATCTCCCCTTCCGATTGGGACCTTTTCCGATCATGTGACCACCGTGAAGGCGAATCACGGCGGTCACATGACCCTAAAACCCCGCCCTGCCTCCCGGCTTCTGAAACTCTTAAAGGGCCGGCACAAAGGATTATTTGTAAAGTAGACTGTAAAGTCGTTCTGGAGGCTGAAGTTTTTTTACCTTCATGCAATCTATACATGAAGGTAAAAAAACCTTCATTGTGCAGCTTTCCCCGCAACCCACTCCTAATGCCTGAGTCCAATCACGATCCAGCGATATGCACGAGAGCGGCTGCTCTCCCAAGTCTCTACCTCATCATTGGATGAGAGACAGCAATGGGAGCCATTTGCAGGGGCAGGACTGAGCCATGTGCATAAGACACACAGAGCGGCACTCAGGAGTGAGCACGCAGAAGTGGCTTGCTTTGGGGGCACTCAGTAGGGTGGCAGGGCCAGGAGCATCGGCAGGGGACCTGAGAAGAGGAGATTTGGGGCTGCCCTGTGTTTTTTTTTGTTTATTTAAATCTACCTTTAATATCACTTTAAAGTGATTGTAAAGTCTACAATTAAAAAAAATAAAATAACAAACAGGTTTATATTTACCTGCTCTGTGCAGTGGAATAGCACAGAACATTCCTGAACCAGTGCTCCTGGCTTCTCCTCTTCTTGGCACACCTGGGTGCTCGATCCCGAGCTCCGCTGCCTATGACCATTGACAAAGAGACTCAGCCCTGCCCACACTCCCTCGTCACAGGATTTTTTTTTTGTTTATTTTCAGATCAAAAACTTTTTTACGGTTTTTACAAAGGGTTAAACTTCCAAAATTACAGTACAGACCACCCAAAAAATACAAACTTAGAATCATAGCAAAAAGAGGACCATATATACAGTCAATTATGCAGACTGTGTTCTCATCACATAATTTGACTGACAGCAGCAGGAACCAATGGCTCCTGCTGCTTTTATTTATTTATTTCAGGTACTTATATAGAGACATCAATTCACTCAGCGCTTTACATACATATATTATACATTCACATCAGTCCCTAACCCTCAAGGGGTGTACAATCTAAGGTCTCTAACGCGTTCATTCATACACATACTAGGGCCAATTTAGACAGGATTGAATTAACCTACCAGCATGTCTTTGGAGTGTGGGAGGAAACTCACACAGGCACAGGGAGAACATGCAAACTCCAGGCAGGTGGCGCTGTGGATGGCATTCAAACCGACGACACTAGTACTGCCAGACGGAAGTGCTAACCACTTAGCTGCTGTGCTGCCCATCAGCCAAACCTGTGAGAGTGGGAAGAAGAGAAGAGAGCCACTGCAGAAGGGGAATGCACTGGATTGAATGAGGGCTCAGGTACGTATAAGGGGGAAGAAGGGGAGACAGAAATGCTAAAACCTTTTTTGCCCTAATGCAGGAAATGCATTAAGGAAAAAAATTTTGAGGCCACTTTACCTGACTCTTTTAATTCTTGCATTTATATGTGTTGCTCTGAAAAAAATAGGGCTTAGTCTGCTTTTTCTTTCATCAAACTTTCAAGAGAACTGTTATTGAATTTCAATTTTGATGTATATTGATCAACAACTGGCAGCACATCTGCTGTGAATGAACCCTTACTTAAAAGGCAGGAGCCAGCAGCCTGTTTTACCTTCTTCAGACTGGATGTACCAGACACCCCCACACTACATAGTTGTTGATAGATTGTACAATCAGATTGTAGGCTGTATGGCCAGGTTTAGTCACGTGCACACATGTTAATGCATGGCTTGAGCTATGAATTCTATGAGTCCTAAATGTGCATAAATAATAGAAACATACAGTTTACACTTGTTTTAGGCAACACAGGATTTGCTCTGCATGCTAAACAACCATCAGGAGTTAAATATTTCTTAACAAATTGGAAAGTCATTTTGACTTGTATCTTCCCTTTCTATCCGTCACTAACATATATTTTATTTCTAGTTAGTAGTACAGCATGGAACCTTGTTAGCCATTGATTAATGCAGAAAGTTTGTAGTTTAAAATGGAAGTAAATGCACTTTTGTATCTTTTACCTACAGCTCACCTTATATTATAGCTTACCTGTAGGTAAAATTAACATCTAAACATGCACTGTTTGAGAAATAGTTGCTTTTTTTTGGACAGCTGGCGCATGTGCTCTTAAGGAATGGCATACCCATGCTGTTCCTTCAGAGCACTGTGCTGTGGCCTGAGATTCCCACGTGCATGCGCAGGAGTGACATAATCGCGGCTTGGCCAGTCAGATAGCTGGAGCTCACGAACCTGGAAGGAAGACCGGGTGAAGATGGAAGCGCTGCTGGAGGGCTTTGTTTTAAGGTAAGTCCTTCATATTGTGCTAGTATGCGATGCATACTACCACATTGTGATATTATCTTGCAGGGGATTTTTAAAATTTTTATTTTTTTTTGCAAGCTCCAATTTACTACCGCTTTAAAGCAGAACTCCAGCCACAAATAACAAAATAACAAAACTAGCCTATTTAAAGATAAAATAACAAATTGATCTTAGGCTACAATATTGCTTTATATGATACATTCACCTTTTAAAAATAAAATAAATACATATCTATTTGAAGGTAAAAAAAATGTGCATTTATTATTTTAGTTTAATTAGGAGTCTGCAGAACATTGCACCTGCAATCAGCGGATCACGGGGTGCAATGCAGGGCTCCTGCAGACTGTCAGTGTAAGCTGTCTGCTCGTACCACATACTGTATGAGTATGCATTTACATAATGACAGGAAGAATCAAGGAACTAACTAGAGCACTCACCAGCTCCCTGGTAGTTCACTGAAAACTAGCCAGAGCGGGCTGAATAGACACATAGTTACATAGTTAGTCTGGTTAAAAAAAGACAAAAAGTCCATCCAGTTCAATCATAAAAAAGATACCCCCTGTGGCCAGCATTATTCAGTTACTTTCTCTGAGCCCAAGTCATCCTGGACTGGAAGAAGGAGCAGCAAACTGATGATAAGCTCATGTCTTTGTCATTCCGGTCTCTCCTCCTCTCAGCATGCTTCTTGATGGCACATGGGCTGATTGGCTCCTTGTGCTGTTACTTCTTCTTACACTTCAGCTCTTCTGTACAGGGGCTGCAAACGACTGATATCAGGTCAAAGCTGGGTACTTGCATGGCTTGCATTTAAAAAATACACTTAATGATATCAAGTGGGAAAAATAATTATTTGATCCCCTGCAGATTTTGTAACTTTGCCCACTTACAAAGAAATGAAGGGTCTATAATTTTTATCATAGGTGTATTTTAAATGATAGAAACAGAATATTAACCAAAAATGCAGAAAAAAACACAATACAAATGTTTTATAAATTGAGTTGCAGTTCAGCGAGTAAAATAAGTATTTGATCCCCTACCAACCAACAATAATTCTGGCTCCCACAGACTGGCTATGTGCTCATGTGGCACACAGATTAGTGATCCTAATGTATGAAAGACACCTGTCCACGGAATCTCTTC